CCCTGCGGCTGTCCTGCGCCACCGCCTCTCCCTTGTCGCCCGCAGGCGTCCGAGGAGCGGGAGTGGAGCAGACGGGCGGCCCGGCTGCGGGCAGAGCTGGAGCGGGAGCGGCGGCTGGATGAGGCGCTGCGGGCGGTAAGAGCTGCGGGGCGACCGCGCTCAGGGAGGGGGAAGGCTGAAGAGAAGTGTTCGCCTGGCTTCACCTTTGCCTGTCAAAAGCTTTTCCCATTCACAATCATTTGCTGACTTGAATAGCCTTGCTTGACTGCACAGTCTCCTTGCCATCTCCTAAATGTGCATGTGTGAGAGTTGCTACGGAAATTGTTCTGATCAGGCAGAAGAGAACAGAAAGCAGAGAGTGCTGCAGCTGGAGCGAGAGCAGAAGCTGGCGGCTGAGCTGGCGAGGCGGGACCTCGAGAAAATGAAAGACGAAAAGATCAGGCAACAAGTCAGAGCAAACAGGTAACTGAGAAATTTCCCAGCTGTATCAAATTGGCTGCTCCTGTTATCAAGATTTGAGAAAGCTGTAGCAGGAGTGGAGACCACTCATTCTTGGGAGGAAAAGTTGCTTTCAGATCAAAGTATAATAGAAAGTTAATTTTATGTAAATTTTGTCAATAAAAAATGTTGATCCGTAAAATTTTCATTTTGAATATATGTATATGTACACTTGGGCATATCTGTGAGCATACACGTGTGTGTATCTGTATTTGTGCTTATGTAGTTAGAAGTGAAGTATGCAGAACTGTTAGCACATGTAAAAATACAGGTAGCTCTTTTTTTAAATGTAATTTTTTTCTTTTCTGCCCTTTAACTAGAGCAATTTTTTTCATCAGTGTTGCCCCAATGAAAAATACTGTTTAAATAGTGATGGAAACTTAATTCTTTCCCCTAGATATCTACCCCCTTGTAATAGGATAATTTTTTTCCCCCTCCAGTCTTGAACTTCGAGAGTTAGAAAGAAAGCTGAAATCTGCTTATATGAATAAAGAACGAGCTGCACAGATTGCTGAAAAAAAAGCTATATACGATGAGGAAATGGTAATTAGTGTATCCCAGCACCTGAGTCCTGTAACTCTTTGTATGGATTGTGCAGAAGATTTTTCCTTTGACCTTTTTATCTAAAATATTGTTTGAGCATTCAGAGTTACTGAAAATGTATTTTGTGTTATGAAGGATTAATTAACCAGTAATAACTAGCTATAAGAAAAACATTTACTTTGCCATTGCAACTGAAGGAGTAGTGATTGAATTAGCTGTATGACTGGTTATAGTTGTTATTTTACTAGTTTTTTAATATTTATCCAAGTCAAAACTATGGTAATCTTTGTACAGTAAGTGTTTATAGTGGTGAATCCTTACCTCAGAGTCTGGCTGTTGAAAACAATGTTACTGTTATAAAAGAGTGATCTGGGTAACTTCAGAAAGACTTGCAAATTTGTATAGAAAGATATTGGTGATCAGGCAGGTGATTCTGCTGATGTTAATGGTTTATACAGAGTTCAGTGCAGGCAGTTGCTGTACAGCAATATGCTCATTGAGGGCGTTCTCTGCAGCCCAGCCCCGTTCCAGTCATTGTGCTGATGTGAGTGAGTCCCACCTGTGCTCAAATGCTCAATACTTTGTTCTTTAAGTATTTTTAGTGCTCCCCAAGTTGGTCAGATCTTGAGGATGCCCTTCAAGGGCTCTACTGACTGGATTAAGCTATTAAGCGTGTTAAGGCTCTATATTTATAGATTGAGGTGGAAGACGTTCATTTCTGGTAATGCTGCATAATTCCTTTCCCTACTGTGTATTTTTTTTTCATTACAAGTTGTAGTAGTGGGAGTGAAAAGGAATCTTGCATTGCTTTTTCCCCCCTAGAAATGGGAGGACGAAGTAGCTCAAGAGATGAAAGAAGAGTACGACAGGTATCTGAAAGAAGAGATGTCTGCAGAACTGAGGCGAAACCAGGAGAAGAAAATGTACCATCAAGAGCTGGACAAGCAGGTTGAGGAGCAGGAGAAAAAGAAGCAAGAGGCTTATGAAGAGTTTCTAAGAGAGAAACTCATGATTGATGAAATTGTAAAAAAGATCTATGAGGAAGACCAAATGTTAGTTATTTTGAATTTTTATTATTTATTAATTTTAAACAAAGCAATTAATGTGATTCTGCACAGAAAGCTAATTTATATTATGGGTCATATAGACTAAGACCCATTTTAGTTTTCCTTGGTCACATTTTATTAACAAGAGACTGACTTCCATGAATTTTCCTGTTGAAACTTCAGAATGTCCCAGTCAGTCTGGTGTCCTTGTTCCCCAAATATGAAATCCAGCTTATTTGCAGGAGAGCTTCCATTGGTCCCATCATGCTGGACACAACAGCACATTACACATTTCTGCCTCACCTTGTGTCCCTGCCTTGCCATGAGATGCTTTGTTTTCATGACTTAGGAACAGGGAAGGTTTCTGACAGCAGGGTATTGTGTGTGGGGTGGGTGGAGGGTTTAGTGTAAATAAAAAGTTTAGGGGTTGTGGTGATATTGGGCTTTCTTTTCTTCTTTCACTTTGATGGGGCATGTATAAAATGCAGCAGCAGTGAGTACTTTTGTGTACAGTCTGTCTTCCAGAAAGGTGTTAGACATGAGATTCCCTTCTTGGGGCAGTTTATTACTAAGTATTTTCAATTTAGCTACCTAGTTTCTAGCTGAATGGTTAAGGAGAGTCATTTAAGTGTTAGTCTGTTGTTAATGGTGAGCATCTGGTTGATTAACTGTTACCCTGCAGTATGTTAAATAATTATTTGAACTTTTTTTTTCCATCTTCTACAGGGAAAAACAACGGAAGTTAGATAAAATAAGAGAAACTCAGACATATATTGAAGAGTTTATTAAAGAACAAGCTATGTGGAGGAAAAGGAAACAGAAAGAGATGGAAGAAGAAAATAGGAAAATTATGGAGTTTGCCAACATGCAACGACAAAGAGAAGATGATAGGATGGCTAAAGTTCGAGATACTGAGGAGAAAAAACAGAGAGTTCAAAACATGGTATCAAAAATTGAAATTGTAGAAAAAATTGTTGTATGCTTTTGTCTTTCATTTAGAAACCTTTCCTCCTTGTAATAGCTTGCCAAGACCATGGAAAGAGAAGAACAGAGGCGTAGAGAACAAGAACAAATCCGCCAAGATCTGTATCTGGAAGAACAAGAAGCAATGGAAAGGAAGAAGGAAATGGTAAGTGCTGACAGGTACATGAAGGTGTTTTTTTTCTACACTTTGGATTTCTAAGTCTGCAGTGTTGTTTGTGACTTTGGAGTTTGGAGTACTAGCACAAAGTATTTATTTTCAACACTATTTCCTAAATGTTGTCAGTCAAGCAATTTGTACATTAGCTTAGGTTTTGGAGGGAAAATTTTGTACTTTTGAGTTTCCTTTTCTGTTCCTAATGTATTTAAGCTTTAATTTCAACCAGGAAGACCAGTGACAGTTTTGAATACCCTTATGGCCCCATTTATACCTTTATTTATCTTGTTTAGGAGAATATACCAGTAGCTTTCAAGTTTAGATTTAAACTCTAAGCAGTTTAATTTAATTTAATTTAACTGCTTTTCTTCTGCATGTGTATTTCCTATGGGCCTGGCCACACTCCATCTTACCTTGCTGTGGGTGACAAACAAAATGTGACATAGGTTGTGATACCAAACACTGCTGGTTTTAGATTTAGTTCAGGATGACTGTCATGATGATTCCCTTCATCATAGTGGGGAAAAAAATCCCCTTTAGTTTTGGACTTAATTTTGAGAATCTTGTGACATTTGCTGATTAATACTGGAGAGCACTGTCAGATATGCAATGTTTGCTCCAGTTAGTTATGCTAGAAGTTAAGAGCTGCAGTAAATTTATTCCAAGATAAATCAAGTAGGTTGGCTGCTGCTGCTGTGAATTTTTCAAAGTATGTTCAGTAATACCGCATTTTACTCAATTTTCTCTATAGGCAGAAATTGAAAAGAGAATAAGGCAGCGCCTAGACTTAAGGCAAGCCTATGAAGAGCAATTTGCTGTAAAGGCAGCAGCACAACAAGCCATGAGAGAAGAGGAGGAAGCTCTCCGGCAGCGGATTTTGGCCAAGCTGGCTGAGGATGATCGCATTGAGCAGCTGAATGCGCAGAAACGGAGAATGAAACAGCTTGAACACAAAACGGCCGTGGAAAAAATTCTTGAGGACCGTCGCAGACAGTGTATTGCAGAAAAAGTAAGAGTTTCATATGCACCTTTGGTTTGAGCAGAGTTTTTAATATGGGAATACTTGTGCTATCCTAAGGAACAATGCTGGCGTTGCTAGGGAAAGGTGGTGAGAATTGCAGAGAATAGCAGGGGGAACCAGGACTTCGTTTTGGAAAAACAGGAAAAAGTATTTTTAGAGCTAACTTTTCGTAGCTCAAGAGGTTGGGGTTAACAACATCCCTGCCAACCCTGTGTAGCTGTGTATTGCAAATACCTCTTCAGGAGCCAAGAGAACAGCAACACAACTGCTGTCCAGTTCCACATCCCTGGTCAGCTGCACTGATGTGTGAGGAGAGGAAGGCCTAGCCTTGCTTTGAGGTTAAGTCTCTTTTATTGAGATCTGAGGAAGAAAAGGTGTAAGCTGAAAGCACGACATTGAATCCCATACTGCTGTTTTCAGACCTGTGTAATGTGAATGGCAATTTCCAGTCATCAATGTGAGAATTCTTACCTATCGCTCCTTTGCCTGGATTAGCAGTAGGGCAGGAACAGACTAACTTGTCTGAGAGCCAAACAGCCACCAGAACTGAATACTGCCTGCCTTCAAAAGGGCTTCTGACACCGAACACTTGGCTAGCAGACTCACCCCATGATTTGCCATTCAGTTTTCTCTTTTGTCTGAGATTGTTTTCCAGTTGCCAGACAGGTGTTGTTTAAGCAATGCTTTGTGGAGTTTTACACTTTCCATCCTTTCCAACAAAATTTCCTGTGACCAGAAATTAGTAGTGGAAGTGGAAATTCAAAATTTATTCCACCAAAATTTTTTCTTTTTATGCTGTTGTGGAGAGTGGCAGAAACAAATGTTCACAGAGCTGAAACAGAATTTAGGAAAACTTATTTATTGTAGGAACGTGAACTTGAAGAAAGAGATTTAGAGAAGAGAAGACAAGAAAGTATCCGTGCAATTATTGAAGAAGAGAGACAGAAACTCTTGAAAGAGCATGCATGGAAATTGTTGGGTTATCTTCCTCGAGTAAGTGAATGCTATTTTAAATATTTTTAATGTCTGTCCTGTAAACTGGTTTTCTCCTGGATAGTTCAAGGTGAAGTTGCAGAACTGTGGGAGTTCCTGGAGTCAGTGGATGTCCTTACTGTGTCAGCTCACCTGCATTCACCTCTACCTTTTGCTTTTGTGTTGGGACCCATTTACAGCACTGCTCTTTCTGCTGAAGGGCTTTGGGCTCTCTGGCACTATTGATGCCTTGTACAGAACTCGGAAAGCTTCCACAGAGCTTTGCATGTCCAGTCTGAAATGTGGAACTTGAGTTCTACAGCAGGGCTTCTCTAGCTAGAAAGGGGTCCACCACATCTAAAAACCTGTTTCCACCAAATTTCTCAGCTGGGGTTTTGGCAGCAATTTCTTGCAGCTCTGGCTTGTCTGCCAACTATTCCCTAACTATGGACTCTGCAGCAGTGCAATGAACTGCAGCATTTACAGAAGCATTACAGAGCTTGCTCTGTTCATCCCTGCTTTTAAAAGTTAAAAAGATGGAAGCAGTTATTGCAATAGGAATAAACTACAATTTATTTTGTATTGTGCTTCATAATTGGAAAGCTCTCATAGTGGTACACAAATGAACAGAGAGCTGCCTTCAGGATGTAAAAATGCATTTACAGTAGAGAGGGAACTATCCAGCTGGTTAAAGAAATTCTGCAGTATTGGAAAATGTTAAGTAGAGTTTAATTTTCATTCAAATATTAATACAATAATTTGTGCAGGATTTTTCAACACTTGGAGTGAATTTTTCTCTAATGTAGATGTAATTAAAGGATAACTCATATTAACAAAATTTTGATAAACTTTTCTGGTTTGAATTTGCTGCTGTAGGAAGCCTTGGCAATTTCAGTGTCCAGGGCTCACACGTGTACCACGCATGATGTTCTACTTTTCTGTTCTCTGCTTCAACACTGTGTCTGAGTTGGGTGCTCCTACATCACATTACTCACTCAAAATGGTTAAACAGCAAAGTGCTACCAAATTGGAAACTTTCCAGTATAAATGTAGTTTGTAGTTTTTTCTTCGTTTTTAAATGCTACAAGGTATGTTCTGTGGGTCATACATATTTTTAGAAGTAAAATTAATTTTAAATTAATTAGAAATTTAAATTTCTGTGCCTCAGCTTCTCTCCCCAGAAATATAGTTTTTGATTAAGTTGTCCAGTATTACTTGATTATTAGTTATTTCTTTGTATGAGCTAATTCCAGCACAGCTAAAGGTGGAGACAGAGCCCCAGCCCAGTCAGGGCCTCTCTTCACTGCAGTTGCTTGTTTTTACTAAACCTGCTCCTGTGCTGTACTGACTGTAATCATTCCTGTGAGCAAGAGAATGCAGCTAAATGTCTTTTGGCAGAACAAAAGGGGGGCTCTGGGTTAGCACTGGTTTGTAACTCACCTGTTAAGGTTTTGTGATGGTTTTCAGGCTTGCTTTAAAGGTAACATAACAGTATTATAGATACCCTTATGGATACCTTTTATTTTCTTCCAAAGAAAATTTCAGAGATCCACAGTAATCTCTCTCTTTCCCATTAATGCAGGGAATAATCAAAGACGAAAACGACATTAACATGCTTGGAGAAGATTTCAGGTTGGCTTACCAGCAGAGAAGAGGTAATGAACTTGCAGAAGAGAGCTGAACCTTCCCCCAGCTCAGCTCCTGCTTTGCCACTAGGTGTCAGCTGATTCCCAGTGAAAACTTCCATTTGCTTTTAACAGTGAGGAATTCCTTTTTAATAGCATTAAAAGCCTTCATTTTAAAACCAAATTTCTAAACAGATGAGCAGTTAGTTTTTATGTAAGTGTGTGCTCCACTTGATTTTTTCACCAATAAACTGTTCTGGAGTTCTCAATTATCCTCAGTCAGTCATGTAGTAGTGTTAGAAATGTTTTCCTCAGCAACACAGCAGAAACCTAACCTAGCTTGTGTATTGCAGTCTGGACTAAAAGGATCCTCCTAATGCACTAGCTCAGGGAACATGTGGCTGTACTGGCACTACACTACAATCCTCATTTCAATGTAGTGTCTCATCTCCATGAGGTAGGTCTGAGATACTTCACTGATAGGATCTAAGCAGAGATGATAGGTCATTCTGAGGTCAGAACTACTGTTTATACCTTTCTTTCAGGGCATAAACTGACTACTTTTGTCCCATGTTCTTATTCACTTACTCTGAGGGAGGAGTCCATTGAAATAGCTGAAGTCTGGCAGAGGTTCATGCAAGCAGCATAGGCTTTTATTGTTCCTGTTCATTAATGCACACACAATAGGCTCAGCTCATCTACCCTGAATCTGTTTTCTAGTTATTGATTACAATGATGACTAATAAAATTTTTAAGGATGTAATGCTTGTAGAGCACCTGTAAATATGGAGTCATTGCTCCTGCCTGTATCCCAAAGAAGCACCTGATGGCCAGTGAAAGGTTTAATTACTTTCACCTTGACTGAAGGAACAGTTTTGCACAATACAGCTCCATGGGACTGTGGAGTCTGGGCAATGACGGGCAAGTCTCATGTATGGTTATGCCAGCCAGGGGCTAAGATGTAATGGCTAAAACAAGTTATAGTCATTTCTATAAAGGAGCTGTTGGTGCTTAAATTAGATGCCAGACCAGCTAGCTTTGAGGGGAGATCTGTTACAGAGAACAGACAAGGCCAATTTTCCAACCACGTGTTCTAAAAAGGACATGACATTTTCTTCTCAACTGGATCACTGGTTAGTTTATTTCTGTTGCAACAAGGAATTTTCTAGACTAAATCCTGACTTCCTTGGACTGAATATTACCATAGGGAAGGTACAGTTTTAAATGCTAGAACAGAGCAAACCGATAACAAAGTTCACTTGTTGGAATATTCCTTCCATGGTCTGTGCTTCTCTGCTCCTTTCAGAATGGGCAGTTTGGCCTGACAATGAAGGAGAATTTGTGTTTTGTATGACATTACAACACAAGCTATCAGGCTTACAAAAGTTAAAACTATTTAACATAAGCAAAATCAACAAAATCAATTCAGTGGAATAAACAGTTATTAACTATTAATGAGAACTCGTATGCAGTCTCAAAATAATGTACCATCTGACTCATCTTTCAAACAGAAGTTAATTAATGGGATCAATAATTTCCCCACTCAAGGGCTTTCATGAACTCCTCTTCGGTAAAAGAAAGCATCTTGGCAGCTTCAATGTGCATCTAAAAAAAACCCAAAAAACAGAAGAGAGCAGAAGGTAAAATAGTGTGAATGACCAATACAAAATCCTTGGATTTTTATTAAAAAAAAAAAAAACTGGGATATTTTATGGGTTTTAATAAAGCACAAAAATTCCTGAAAATCTGACAACTCTTGTGACTTCTGAAGAACACATATAAGAAAACCGGTCCATGTTCTTTCAAGCTGATCAATATACAATTTACATTAAAGGTATTACAGAGCAAATCATCCCACTCCTGATATTTAATGTCTTTGGGGAATTTTTTCCCTCTGTCATTCTTCAGGCTCTGTCTGTTCTGTGCATCTGAAACTGTCACACAAATAGCCCAAATCAGGTTTTTCTAATTCATTCAACAAAAGACCCATTTGAAGCAGACTTCAATTGTCTGTTGAAGGACTGGAAGCAGTCCTTCCATTGACTGTGAATACTGGGCACATGTGAGCTTCAGCTGCCCTTCCCCAGTGCCTTCTGCCAGAAGCTGCAAGGGGGGCAGTGCTAGCCCCAGTCTCTTACATGTCCCTCCAGTCACAGTCTCTTCCGAAAGGACAACTCACAGCATCCTCCTTCTGTGAGTAATACTTGTTGTAAGAAAAGGTAAGTGGCTTTCTGGCCTATCTGCAGTTCAGATACTTTTGTATTTATTTATTTTGTATTCTGATATATTTGTAATTATTAGATATGTATTTAATGCAGTTTGTGGCATTTGTCTGAGACCATGGGTTTGGTTCCCAGTCAAACAGAAATGCTGCTCTGTGACATCCCTTTCAGTGAATTCATGTTCCAGAGGACAATGAGCTACCTCACCTGGGAGAACATATTTTGAGCAAATGCTGTGTGGTTTTTATTCTCAAAATAAACTTGCAGAGCTAGAAGGGCCAGCTGAAAACTAAGCTAGCACTGTTGCTATTAGGTGAATCCCCAGGATCTCCTCTGCATCCTGTTCCTGCCAGAAAAATTCTCTTGCACTGGAAATACATAAGCAGCCCCACTTCCTATTATACCACTTACCTGTCCTCCTTTGCCCTGTGTTGGGGAGGTTATTCCAGATTCAAGGGTATAGTTTCATATTGCAATTCCCAGTTCTTAGGATAAGTTTGTGTATTTTGCATCCTGAAGTTGCCACTTCATACAGAACTATTCTTCCTCTAGGGGCTCAACAGCTTCAAAAGTGTTTACTAAATGTCTGGTGATCACTGAGTACCCAAAGGGTAAATACAATGTTCTACTTCCTTATCTCTAAGGCTGGCCCTTCTTAAAGGGGGTTCTGCTCAAGCCACCATACATTGCTTATTTTAGCTGTCTTACAGCTTTGGTTTGAGAGTGCAAGAAGTGCATTGACTTCATCCCAAAATGAATTCCACAAGATTCAGCAGAGTAAGCAATTGGAAGTGACCCACTCTGTGGTGTTAAGGTCCTGCCCAGGCCATAGCTCTACATGTCTCATGCAGCCTCAGAAGGAAAACTGATGGAAATGACTGCACACATCCCAAGTATTTTAAGTGAAAAGTGTGATGGAACTAGTAAGTGGAAAATCATTTGATTTGGGCAATATCTCTTAGTATACAGTCCTCTCAGTTTAATTTCCTTCCATGTAAACTCACAGTTTTCAGGATTACTTTACTGGACAGCAGACACATTTAGCTGGAGGTTGTTAACTGAAATATATCCATAGTCTGCTCCTTACCTTTTGTCTCTTCAAAATATCAATTAACTTTAACTGCTTTTTAAAACCTGTAATTAGCTCTCCTTTTTGTTTCTGCAGTTTCTTGTTTTCTGTTTTTAATTCTTCGATCATTTTGAGTTCTTGGTTTGCTACATCCTATCAAGGGAAGACAAAGAGAAATGTATTAATTATGAAAATGGTGCTTTAACCAATGAAACCTGGCATTACATAAGAAAATGACAAACAGTAGCCACACTCTGAAAAGAAATAGGATTAATCAAAATACTCCCACATTAAAGTATAAAAATAAAAGAAAATCATGCCAATAAGAGCTGTGGTTTGCCTCTGTATGTATTAAGTGTGTATATGTACTTCTCCCCCTTTCTAAACATGTCTCACTTTCACACAAATGAGGAAAATCAGAAAGGTTTTAACTTCATTCTGTACATCTTTTTTTTCTGCAGAGGCTGCAGCAGTATCCTCTAAGGTAACTTATTGAGGCCTTTTGTGACTTGCTCCAAGTTAATTTTGAGGCTGCCTGATACAAAGATTCCAAAGCCCATCAAGCCTTTTGTCTTATTCTAGCATTACTGAGTGATTACAGACTGGAAATTGTTTTCCTAAGCCATAGTACCTTGTTGCTTTGCTTCAGTTTATTCAGCTCCACTTTATACTTTTCAACTTCTTCCAAGGCCCTGTTTAAACGAACCTCTGTTGCACTCTGAGTGGTTGCAGCCTGCTTTTGGGCTCGCTTTAGATTCTCCAACTCCTATTTGAAGCAAAGGACAAACCCAATAAAAGCATTATGAATAACAGTGTTCTAACAAATATTGTATCAACAACACATTTACAAAAAGGCTCACCTTTGAAAGCTGAAGAGTCTATGAACTTCTTTGGCCTGCAGATAGAATCTGTCTCAAAGACATTCTACTGTTTAAATATCCCCTTCTCCTTTGAAATCTTGAAAAAGGATCTTTGTCATCTTTGGTTTTTTTTACAATTCCCTTGGAGTAATTGTGAAGCTGATCATGTAAAACCACAGGACTGACTGAAAAACGTTGCATGATCAGTCAGAAAAAGAGAAAAAAATATCACTTTGTCCACTCTGTGGCAGATTTTGGAATGGTGTCTCACGTTCCCAGCTGTTTCTTCCCACCTGCTCCTTTCACCTCTTTGCCTCAGAGATTACTACATGAAATTACCACCAAGAAGTTAAAGCAGCCTACTGAAGAAGGCTGAGGGTAGTAACTATTTAATCTCGCAGAAAAGTTCATTGAGTGTTATGGCACTAATCAAAGCAGTTGACCCTGCTGACAGTATTTCACAGTGCAGTAAGTGAGAGAAAGAGACCAAGCTGAGGAACAGAATAATGAGACTAAAGATCAGGGCATATAGATAACATACAAAATAAAAGAAATAAACAATTCTGACAGAAAGAACACATCTCGTGTTTTATGAAAAAGAAATAGACTTTTTCTTTAAAGTATCATATTTTTAGTAACGGGCACAGAAAGATTCCTTTAACCAAATCAAGGTAGAGAGGGGGCTTACTGATAATGAGGCAGCCCTCAGACTACCTCATTTCTGAGTAATTGTTCTATTTTCTCAATTCTACACCTGTTCTGTGGTGCTTATTCAAGACTTCCACATCATTTATCCAGGAAATACATACTAATTGACCTCTTTGTCCTACATCAAGATGATGGAGCTGTGAATAAAGTCTACTAAATCTTTTGTGCTACGTATTTTATTCTGCATTAGTATGAAAAGCTTTGGAATATAGTCTTTCAAGCACTTAATGACCAAAAAAAAATAGTCTACATAAAATGCAAATTACTTATCAGCTGATCAGATCATTTAATGAAAGAATTCTAAGAATTCTTTTAGGGATTTTTGACATTTACTGTCACACATAATATCTTATCAAGGACTTTTTTACAAGTCATCCAGTGAGGGTATATTGTTAAAGATATTCAAATCAAAATTTTTAATCTTAAAAATGCCTGAAATAAATGTTTTATTTTGTAACTAGGCAAGGTTTCTGCCATTTCTTCAACACATTAAGTCAAAGCTGGATTAGTTTTCTCATATAATGTTTCTCAAAGAGGGTGCAGGATAAACCACTGTGTTTTAAAATTGCATCCTATTTCAGTTTCTGGATTTTCCCCACTGTTCTGCCATGATAGAGGCACTTGAGTGTCAGTGGGGCTGTGATGGCCTCTGAGTAACCCTCACCAGGGCCTTCTGTCCTCCCAGCAGCAGTGTAGGCAGCACTGCTTTCTTTAGGAAGCTCTGCAACATCTCTCCAAAAATCAGTTTTGAGAGAAGGTGTACTTAACATCAAGCCCTTCTTCAAGGCACATGATAAACCCCTGCACAAAAGCTTTAAAAGAGTAAGAGTACAACCTCTGTGTTTCCCAGACCGGTAATCTAACATTAGAGCTCAGCTGAACAAGTGAGAGAATACAAAGGAAGGAATGTACACCAGTGGTGAAAAAGAGATGAGAGAGGTGATAGCATTTATTAGATCAACTGGACAGAAAACAGTTGGATTGCTGGAAAGAATTTAGTTACTGCCTTAGGTGGGTGCTGCAGCAGTAATATTTACAGAGACTGAATGCCAAAAGAATAAAATGTAAAAATAACAAAGTAGTTACCATATTTCAGGTAAATTGTGAAAGGGGGGTAAGAATCTTTCCCTAGGCACATATAAAAAGTACCCTGGGGGATTAATGAGTTTACAAAAATTTGATAATCTAAGGAGTTTGGGGAAGCATGTATCATACCTTAGGTCTACCATCATCTACACTGCAACAACAGAAAGAGCAATAAAAGCCCCAAAATTACACTTGTGCTCTCTCAGCTATACAGAAAACTTTCTCTAGACCAATAGAGTAATGAGAGTTCAGCGGCACAGTAGTTAAACTACTACATATTTCAAGCCTGTGTGCACAGGAAATTGCTTTTAAACAAGTCTAGAACTGATCTACACTACATTAATTAAACAGGATTGACTACTACTTTGTATCTTAAAAATACAGCAGTTTTTAGACTTCTAAACCCACAGGAGATTGGAGCAGTTACTGCAAAATGCATGGTTTTTGCAGTTAGATAATTTATTATAGCAGAAAAAATATGTAAAATAACTTCTGAATTAGCAGAGAATTACATATACTTGGAGTTTTTTGCTGTCTTAGTATTTTAAAGGATTGCTACTATTTATCATGACCATGTCTGATTGGCAACCTTGACAAATTTTAGAAAACACAACCTATGAGGAACAATTGAAGCAATTGAGGATGGTAAATCCAAAGCAAAGACCAGTGAAGGAAGTGGCCATATTCTGGATATGGTACCTGTACAGTGGAGGTGAATCAACTTTTCATCCTATTTCCTAAATATTTTCTAACTGTGACTGTGTGCAAGGAAGTAGCAGAAACTGCCATTCCAGAAGGCTGTAAGTACAGGTTAAACAAACTTATGTCCAGGATGGTATGAGTATATTTTGTCCTGCCTTGTTTTAAGAGAAGGAACTAAATTACTGTAAATCTCTAGGTCTTATTAACTGTGAGCTGATGAGTAACACAAATACTAGTACTGAATATTTTTCCTTACAGATGCACCATCAGTATAAGGGACTTTAAAACTTCCAAACATCTGCACAAAAAACCACAAAAACCATGTTAGTTTTAAAATGCCTGAACTACGAAACATTAAGATGCCCACACAAATCCATACTATGATTTAATGAAATTATGAGACTTTGATGGGCTGAGCTGTGTTTTGTTTTCTCCAAGTTTTTAACTGAAACATTCTCTTGGTTGTATTACATGTACTACCCAACACTGTTACGTGGTTTTGAAGTCAACCTCTCTAGCTCTGAGTAATTAAAGAAAAGCTCATGCTGCCCTTAAGATTAAGTTCCAAACAAAGCAAGCTGTGTACGCAGCCATCTGCTGCACCAGGCACGGGCATGGGGCAGCAGCCGCAGCCGTGCCCGCCTGGGCTCAGCCACACTGCAGTGCCTGCTGCTCCAACAGTCCATCTGCAATAGACATCCTTTCCCTCACCTGCAGAAGATACTGCTAGAACCTGTAGGTGCTTCTAAAAAACATGTTCACTATGTTCTACAGCTTACAATAGAATTTACAGAATCGATTTTTTAAAAATTGTAATTAAAACCTGAGAAATGGAATTTCCTTGTACTTTTCAGGATTCTTTTTTAAATTTGACAGCAGTTTCTGAAAAGGCAGTTTTCTCTCGTGTGTGTCTTGTACATAGGAATTTAATTTTAAACACCAAAATATATGATGTAGTAGAAGAAAAGCAGTTAGCAGAATATATTATTTCTTCCTTTAAAAAAAATATAAGGCCATTTAAAAATACAATTTATAAATTAACAGACATTGAAACACTAATCAGATCTTTGGACATGGCTCTATCAATCCATCAGGGAACAGAGGGTAATTTGATGTGGGTTTTTTCCCTTTTTTGAGATAAATGAGATTAATATCTGCAATACCTTTTCTAGTGCAGTGACCTCTTGTTGTAACTCTTCGGTTTTTTTGTTTGCTTCTTGTGACAACATTTTGTACTTCTCAGTCTGAGACTGCTGCAGGCTGATTGTTCGTTGCAGTCTTGTGTTTTCTTCTTCAGTATCTTTAAGTCGAGTTTCTAAATTCTGATTTTCATCATCCTGTACAGCAGCAATTAGCAAAAAAACCCCAACTAAATTAGTGCTAGGAAGCAGGAGGGTAATGCAGTAATAATGTCTTGTAAATAAAAGGCACTAAGAATATATGTGCTGTAGATTTAGAGATAGCAACAAGTGAGACTAAGAAAACAAAACACCCTCCTACCAAGATAATATTGTAAAAAACAGTAACACTTTTCTTGTTTAATTTTCTGCAGTCTTTTACTTGAAACTGTCTAGTAACAGTATAGAAACATTTTTGAGAGCTCAAAGGTTTTGAAAATAATCAAAATGTTATAGAATTATATGAGTAACAGTGGCACATAGATATTTTGTGACATTTTTGTGAGAATAGCTAAATGCATATATTAGGAAAAATTATGGGAAAAAGAAGATAATATAATTACTAATAAACTGCTCCATTATGTTTTAGAAGATTATCTGGTTTTGACTTAAAAGCAAGCTAATGATCCAGGATACATCAAGTATTCAAATTTAAGATTCTCTTAACATGAAGTGAGTCCCATCTTAGATTCATGACCTACTGGCAATTACATCCCACATTAAGCATTATAATTCAAGGCATTTTTCTTTCATTTCTTTTCAAACATTGTAAGTGAATACTAATGTAGATTATTTCAGAGACACATTATGCCCTGCTTTTCTTTAAGAAAAAGAAACCAAGGCACATACAGAAATGGAATTTCTGTGAAAAAAAGTCTGTCAGCTGTTCTCTCAGTCCCTTGGAATACAGGCTTCCCACCTGGGAAATCTGTGTGCTTTATCCTAAGCTTCTCATGACTTCATGCACCTCAGAAACTCCCACCTCTTTAAATTTAAACAGATTTACTGCTTCCTTATAACAATTGAACTGTGAATTGGAACCAAACCCAGAATCTATCTCAAGGCTTTGCCAAAATGAAATTTTTGTGACCTTCTTAATGTAATAAAGTTATTTTCACACCAGAGAAACTAGAACCCAAAATGATACATTTACATACAAAGTGCTAAGGGAGCAGGACAAGAATAAGTACAAGGTTGTCTTCTGTCATCTGCTACAGTAACTGAATTCTGTAGTGATTTTGGCATGGAATGATGAGGTTCAATAGCTACTGACAAAATTATTTGATTTGAAAATGAAAATGTCTTTAAAATCTAATGTACCATCTTTCTTCTGATCACAGCATAGTAGTAATGAAATGCAGAAGCACCTGTGTTGATAAGATAAAGTACAGATATAAAATATCAAAACCTAATTACTTCATGTATCTATCTCAAAAAACTAATTTACTATCATCCTTCTCCTTAAAGCTAAATTAAAAGCTTGTAAGAAAATATAAAGGTGTTTTGCCATATGTTCTTAATGTCATCATCACACTTGGGCCTGGGGAATAGGTGGAAAAAAGCATTCTGAAGTTAAAGAGACCACAACTAAAAATAATCTAGTTATGTAAAATGGAAAGTTAGTTCAAAAACCTTGCTTGATTACAAATACATGAATAAGAAGTGATTTCTCTGGCAGACAGATATGAACTACTTAAGCTTTTACAGTTCAAGAGCTGTTTGAGCATCACTTTAAAATATACTGACAGACAGTGCAGATCATAAAACTCACTTGTACATCCTAACAGTGAAATATCAGTGTAGCTTCACAATGCCTTAAGTTGTCTGATCTGCCCAAGTATGTAATTCCAAATATTGCCCTCTGCAACAATTATACTCTTGAGAACAGAGAAAGCCTAATTTGTTTTGATTATAATATTCCACTTAAAATGGAAGCTCTTTCCACACTGATCCACTGATAACACTGAAGGCACCTGACCATATTTCTCATAATTTTCTATTTTTCAAGCTGTTCTATTTTTCATTCTACCCTAAACATCCATCTCATCCCAGCAGCCGGCTCTGGGCACCACTCTTATCCTCTCTGTACTCCACAAGCTGCATTTCACCACTATTGTTTCTTCCTCCTTTTTCTCAGGCTCCACTCTCCTTCCCAGCAGTGACGGTTTGAGACTTTGCAGCACCACAGTGGCCCTACAGCTGGGGCACATCTTTGTTCCCAGTGATTCTTTCCTGCCCCAAATTATTTCCCATTAAGTGCATTTTACAAGCTTTTAGCCCAAGATCACACTTATAAAGAAATTACCACCCCTGACTCTAAATTCATATGATATTTAAAAAAACCAGAACTTTAACTCTTAATACTTGAAAAGTTGAGAGAATTCAGTTTTAGGATTATTTGCCAAAGAGGAACCTATCCCATTTCTAGATTAAAAAAATTAATCTCTTACCTTTTTCCTGCATTCAAACAATACATTTGCCAGGTCTTCCTGTGTCACACGTAACTTTGCCTTAAGAAATCTGATTTGAGCTTCTGTGAACATATAAAGTTACATTTAATATACACAAGTATTCATTATTCAATGCAGAAAAGAACGAAAACTGATGCAAGAACTCACTTTCATCCTGTATTTAAAACCACATTACATTGCTTATAATTATTGAGGAGAAATAGGTAGAATCTCAGATTTCTAAAAAAGTGTTTGCAGGTTTCTCGTTCTTAGGCAAAGCTTTCATAGGATGGTCTTGGGTTATAAAGCAACCAATTAGTTAGGGACAGGTAAACAAGAGAAGGACATCTTAAGAGACTATGATACTCTACAAGAAAGAACAGATTTCTTGAATTTTTGAGCTAAGATGAAGATTAATGTGAAGTGCAACAATACATTCAGGTATTTTATTCCCACATGTAAGGGTATATTAGATAGAAACAGAACTTCATGTTCAGCCTTCTCTATGTCCATGTGCTTCTATCACTGCTGGTTACTGCAGAGTTGAATTATAACCCCCAAAACCAGACTAAAATAATATCTAAGCTACTCTGCTGGCAGAAAAATGGCTGCACTGCAGTAATCTGTGATCATGAAATAAAGACAGTGAACCCAGTTCCAGGAAGAATGCTGCAAGTAGCTCAAGGAAAGGAAAATGCTGTGCAACCTTATCATATTGGCCTAAATAGCCGGACACAGGCTTAAGGAATCCATTACGGAGAGTCCCACTGAGCCCTCTCTGTAACAAGGCCTGCTTAACACTTGTGTCTGCTTCCTTGTGAGCACCCTGTCCTTAAGAGTCTGACACTACTGGAATGCTCTGCAATAGCTTATTTACCACGTTAAGGAGGCATTCAGAGTGTTCAAAACAGCCAGTACCAAATTCAAAACGCAAAACTCAACCCAGAGGATTTTTATTTCCTCATTAAAGTTACAGAACCAATCCTCAATACTACAATACATGCCCTTGGTCCCTGATTGCAAGGCACCAATAATAACTCTTCTGAGCTGCCTGGAATTAATTTGGTATAAGTTTCCAATGCAAGCCAAAGCAATTTCTTTTTGGTTCAGCAAGAAAACTATAAAAAAGTTATCTGAGGATCTGTTATGGGAGACTTGATAACAGAAGATGTGCACAGAATTACATGAGGTTAGAAACCAAGCTATTTCTGTGTTGGCAGCCTTGTTGACATCAAGCTGTTAGATTAAAGGAGAGGGCTCAGGCACTTCCAGCTACTGCAGCGAATCTCTGACTTCATGCTCACTTTAGCATTGTAAAGAACTACACAAACTCACTTTCATCACACCAGAGCCAAAAAGACAGATGTGTGTCATGCCTTTAGCCTCACTGGCAAATGCTGCAATCCCTTCCCTGTTCTGTTTCTAGGACAGACATAAACACACCATTTGGAGTGGGAAAATATCTGGAGGATTCTAATTCAAGCACTATAGCTGAAACATTACCTCGTTTGAGCCACTTGCTGAGATCCACAGCAGTGGTCTGAGGAAAGGCTCTTAGCTCTAAAGGCAGAGTTTGTGCAAAGACTGGAGCTCATCTTTTTGGAAACACAAGCTTAGCATCCTGTACTGCCGGTTCCCCAGTGAAATGAATCAAATGTTATGTACTTATTCAACATATGTAACCACCCAAATACCTCCCTACAAAAGTGGAAAAGAACATAAAAATTCACTTTTCCACATAATCATAGTCCTGATCTTTCTGCAGGATTTTAAGAGAAAAAACCTTCTTTCCTTTTTCCTTTAAGTTAAATGCTTTAGCATTTTCTCTAAATTTTTACAGAAACTCCTTCTTTTTTCTCTCCCCAGAAAAACCCACTTTTAACAGACACAAAGCAAAAACATAGGTACTGACCACAGAACGAAACTTACCTGCTCCCATTTCATTTCCAAACCTCGGAATAATATCATCATCTTGACAGTCTGGTAAGGCTCCTTTCTTTAGTTTTTCTTCAACTTTGCTTATTGTTTTTGTTAAAGAAAAGCCTATGCAATCTTCCAGTACTGCAACACCATCAGCACTTTGTACTTCCATGTTCCTTAATTTTGAACTAAAAAAATGAAAACCCTAAATTTTAAATTTATAATACATCATATTTTTGTAAAATACTTTTTGTATTTTCTATTTTTAAGAGTGTACAGTTATTTACCTAATGCAATTTCATTACCTGCATTCATATGAAAGCTGCATCGATGGCAATTTCTCATTTGCTTTCTGTAGTACACCTTTACCGTATTCCACATAAATAATTACAGGATTTTAAATCCATAATGTAGAAGGCAGAGAAACCACTGTCATTTTCAGCTGAGAAGATTCTGGCATGGTCTTCTCATCCAACAAATCCATAATTACATCAGAGTAAAGCAAAGAAAGAGAGGAATGTCCCACTGGCTTTGGCTACTGTCCTGGGGTGACCCTCTATCCTCTGTTATAATTTTTGCTCTTTCCACTCCCCACCACATTATCTTGTAGAATTCTGTTGCCCCTGGCTGTACTCCTACCTTACAACCATTTCTGCATTGTTATGCCCAGCCTAGGAAACTTCACTGATCCTAGAAGTTGCATATCAACATTTTCATAAAACCAAAATGCAGGATAACACACCACCTACACAGGGTATCTCCTCAGCTTTCACCAACAGAATGGTCATCTTAGTTCTCACAGGATCTGAAGCTCCTAACTTCTTATTCCAACATATCCTCATTCCAGCCTCCAAACTCCTCCTAGCTCCTAACTGTCTCCCACAACTTTTGGGTTGCCCCACAGGCTCTGTATCTGCACAATTCCACTTCAAACCTCATGACAAGGTGCCAGCATGACAACCTCCCCTGAACTGCCCAAGAGAGGTCTGAAGGGTCTCCAGGGATTTCCAACAGCCTCAGCCTCTGTCAGTTCCATGTCCTGCCACCTTGCAGACAATTTTCATCCTATTTTGGTATTAGGTCATAATTCATGGCAGTTTTAATTAGTGCCCTGGATCTTACATATTTTCCTGACTCTTTGTCCAGATCACCATTTCTTGGTTTTACAACCTTGAATTTGCTCTCTAGAGAGCTGAAGCTTCTCAGCTGGGAGCTCCTGGAAGTTGTGCTGTATTACTGAGCCTCTTGTCCTGTGAGCCCAAGATTCACTACAACAGAGGAGGTCCTTCAAGGCCTTATGTTTCCCAGCACCAGTCTGGTCACAAATCAGGCCGTAGCACCCAATTGTGCTGGCCCAGGTTGCCTCAGGTGCTCTGTTTTTGCTCATTGGGCCTCGTTTCACTGAAGGAGTTTACAGAATTCAGCTGTCAGCATTGAGAAGTGATAAAGCAGAAAGCAACAGTTTCATTGCTTAATCACATATGTTCACTGCTAATTTCTGGTGCAAGTGAAGAGAGATAACCACATGGTGGAGCTGATTGAAGAGGACCAGAAGTTTGACACATTTATTTGTATATTATAAAAATATAATATGTACATTAAATATAATGGCATACATCTATAAAATAACTCGATAGACAGAAATTTCAACTAAAAGATTTCATGACAAACCAAATGAGATATTTGATATACCTTGAACTTGTTCTTTTTCCCTTACTTGCTGAGTATGGTCTGTTCTGAGCTGTGGGCACAGAAGGAAATTTCTTCTTGTTTTCTGCCTAAAAGTTTTTTCAGAAATTAGTGGGGTATTATTATTATTGAAATACTTTTTTCTATTTTTTTCATATTTTTTTTTCTTCATGTATCTGTACTTAAGGATAGTTTTCAAAGTATGCTTTTCAGACCTTCAAAATGACATCTCAGTTTTATTTGCACTCATCTTTAGTTTACAACTTTTATGTCTCTGCACTCTAATTGTAATACACCCAATAGTCATTGGCTCGTGGGAGTTTTTCCATACATACTCATAATAAATCTATGCACACGCAAGGCTCTGATCTTTTATCAAGGTATTAATTATTGGACTGTCATCATACCTTCAAAAATATGGTATTTTATGCACTATTTTAATCTTATAAGGTCCCTGCTGAAGGAAGATTTAACAATATTTGTTACTTTCACCCAAATAGTCTTTAAAAATTAGAGGGTTTTCTACTGTATTCTGATAAATAACTGCAGATGGTATTTTAGCAGCTTCAGCTCACCTCATAAGAGTATCAATATAGTTGTATTTAGAGATTGCAATTGTTCCTAATCTCATTTTTCCATTGTATTTTCTAAATTCAGTTACTCTGACTACTTGTTTATTATCTAGAAGACACTGGTACTGCCTTTAGTACTATTCAACTGAGGGAGGGAAGAAAGCAAGAAATTAATTATATTCTAATATTTTTCACTTAGACGTCTCCATTTGATGTTCAAAACACTGAACATTTCTCCCAATGCTGAAGAGAAAATAAATTAAAAATTAAACATTATGTAAGTCCACCTGACCACCAGTGGCACTGAAAATCCCTGGTAACACTGTCCCTGTAGCACTGCTTTGGACATCACTTCCCTTTGGCTTTGCACCCATGTAAGTCCCCAGTGTAGCCTCAAAACCATGAGTCATTGTATTTTTCAAGCTATGCTAGAAAAGAGTTTAATCAGGATAGTTTTGGTACCTTTGCAAGCGAGTATGTAAGAGATGGAACTTCAGGAGAGAGTGGATCTCTGCATTAAAAAAAAAAGATAAAAATTCACTGACCTATAGTAATGTAAACAGTTTGCAGTTAAAATACAACCCCCCTGTCAGAATCAGGAGAATAACATTTTATATGTCTATAATAAACAATATAGCTACGGTGGGAACATATACTGAGTAGTTCAAGCATAAATTCAGTCTCATTCACAGTCTGTCCAGTCTACCTCAACTGCAGCCCAAACCACCTGCTGAGCCTAAGGTATCCAACACAACAGCACTCATGTACCAGAATCCTGATCTTGTCTCTTGGCATTCAGGCTGCTGGCTTGTTAGATCAATGATTCCCTGTACCAGGGAGTACTCAGCAAGGAAGCAGAGTTGCAGCTTCCCCAGGACAATCCAGAACCAAAGACTGCCAGCAGCTCACTGAGTAACACCTCAGTGACATAAAACCCCTGACCATACAAAGTGAAGATATTACCAGTGTCCTCTACATCCTGTGAGGAGGTAGCTCCACCTGTCCTAGCAGGATCAGACTGACTCTAGGCAGATCAATTGACAGGGACTGTCAGAGGAATATGAGGTGGAGCAATTTATAAATTAAGCCTCATAGAATTTTCTCTGAATTAAGTACTACAAATATGGTATTCATTTTACAGATGGGGAATAAAACCAAGTATACAAAACCAGAAAAAAACCCCAGCTTTCTTATCTGTTTATTTGGCTAAAAACTGTGCTTCTCAGTATCTGATTTTCAAGTTAAATGATTATTTTTCAAGTCTATTGAAATTAAGCAGAAAGTTTTAGCATGCTGTGTACTATTCAGGTAAAATTCCTTGTCATATAGCTATACAAATACTTTTTTACTTTCAAAATGAGTTAGGTGAAGGTATATTATTGCAATGAAAGGCTATTTTTTAGCTACCCTTTATAAATTCTTTATGTCAATTAAAATGCTGATTATAAAAGATTGTGAATAAAATTTAAATTTCTGGCTCATCAAGTCACCTAATTTTTTTGCCAGGCTGATTTGAGCAAATGTTTAAATCTTGCCTTTAAAAATTTCACAGACATTCATCAACAAGAATTATCTGCACAAAGCTCTGAATTTTATTAATAAAAAAAAAACAAACAAAAAAAACCCCAAAAAACCTGGAGAAATCATCTGGGTGTGGCTGGCAACAGACTTCAAGAATAGGATGATTAGTTTTTGTCTATTTACCCTATTTTCTGCAAGCTTTCTCCCTATTGGCTAGCTCTAGGAGCATGCAGAAGGTGAGGATTTGCTGCCACAGAAATAACAGCTATATGTTATTCTGAAAAATATGACAATACAACACGCTCTATACTCAAGAAAACAATTCTGTTCTTTTCCTAAATACAGTAATTTGCTCCTACTGTATCTGTTGTCTCAGGGTCGCCTTAAAAAAAAAACAAAACAGAAAAAACCCAAACACGAAAAAAGCAAAACCAAAAACCCAACCTCATGGTACCTCTCAAATTCTCCAATTTATTTAACCCTAATGGCTCTTTCCTGCCGCACATCCACGGCACCCCATTTTGAAAGCCCTCTCCCCAGCTGTGCGGCCGGTGAAAGGACCGGGAAAGGCCGCGGAGGGAGGGAGGCACACGGACACGCAGCTCGGGGAAAGCCCACCGAGGGAGGGAGGCACACGGACACGCAGCTCGGGGAAAGCCCACCGAGGGAGGGAGGCACACGGACACGCAGGCCGGTGCCGGGAATGCCCCCGGGGC